ATTTTATTTCATCATCATTATATAATTATCATTACCCGATATCAAACATCATGACTACTTGAGCTCCCTTTGTCTTATCTTTCTAGAACAGAAAGATTAGTCTCTAAACACAGAACATTTTTAAAGTAACTATGATGTCACTACACAGAAGGGTTTAATTCACTTTACCTGAAACCTTCAACAGGTTTGCTAATTTTAGACAAGAGACAACCTAGCTTCAAAAATCCAATACTGAGGGTTTACAAACTGAAACAGGAGTCAACAGACATTTTATGTAAAGGCCACATAGTGAATATTTTAGGCTTTGCAGGCCTAACTGCTCAGCTTTACTCTTACAGCAAGAAAGCAGCCACAGACAATACCTTAATGAATGAGCATGGCTGTATTCAATAAAACATTTGAGAAAACAGGCAGCATGCCAGATTTAGTTCGTGGCTGTAGCAGTCCCTTATCTAAAATAACTGTAATAACTGTTATCTTAACCAGGAATGTGTACAAAAAAAAGCCTGGAGCAAGGTTTAGTCCTAGTGTTTAAGGGAGTAGTGCACTCTCAGGGTTGTAAAAATAAAAGAAAGATGATTCATTATCACACTAACCACTATTTCATGGGGAGAAGCAGAAGAGACATCACCAGTCACCTAACAGGTGTACTGGCATGGTCTTGCAAAAAGTTTTCAAAAGTTTATGTGAGAAAACTATGACTCAAATTAGTCAAATAATGAGGAGGAAGCGAGGCAGAATTTATTACTTGTCTCTTGTCTAATATTGGTCAAGGTTTTATCCATGGGAGGTTAACATCCTCTACATCCTCTCTCTTCAGAATTGTGGCATTTTATCCCTTTGGTGTCTGTTAGGGAAGCCAGATTGAATGCCTTATGTTGTAACACATCTTCTGAATCCAGAATTAATGAAAGGAGCCAGAGACCTGGGACTAGCTTGTCAACTTCAGGAAGCAATACTGCATGAAGTTAATTAATTCTCCCAAACCTGAAGTGAAGCAAGCAGCCCTTGTTTGGGAGACAAGAGAAGCTGAGAGAATTCAAGCAGATGTACTCAATACTGTATCTAATCAACACAGGCATCTCTCAGTTCAAAAGCACCCTCTTATATTCGGTAGATAAATGCATAGTTTCTTTACAAATGATATACTGGGGGGAAGATGGCCTATTTTCTGATACCATGACATTATCTTAATTTTTTATTTTTTATTTTTATTTTTGAGATGAAGTCTTGCTCTGTTGCCCAGGCTGGAATGCAGTGGTATGATCTTGGCTGACTACAACGTCTGCATCCTAGATTCAAGCAATTCTCCGGCCTCAGCTTCCTGAGAAGCTGGGACTACAGGTGCACACTACCACACCTGTTAATTGTTTGTGTGTTTTTGGTTGAGACAAGGTTTCACCGTGTTGGTCAGGCTGGTCTTGAACTCCTAACCTCAGGTGATCTATCTGCCTCAGCCTCCTAAGGTGCTAGGATTACAGGCATAAGCCACTGTGTCCAGCCATGTTATGTTGATTTTGTAGGATCCTTAACTTTAGCAGTTTGTTCCTTCTTGCACTTCACCAATTAGCTTCCAAGAGAAGCTTTCCCCTTCCAAGTTTAATTTATTCCAGAAATACAAATACGTTGAAAGTTAGATAATCTATTAAAATAATTCAACAAATTAACAAATTAAGAAATAATAATCTTCATATATGTAGAAAGCATTCAATAAAATTCAGCACCATTCATAATTTTAAACTCTTAGAATACTGGAAATAGGTGGAGTGTTTTTAACTTCATAATAGCAATCAAAGATCTGCAACAACCATTTTACTTAATGCTGGAATCATGGAAGCATTTCCTTTGAGGTTGGAAACAAAAGAAAGTTCCTAGTAAAACCACTTTTATTCAACACTGCACTGGGGTTCTAGCCAACAAAAACAAAAAAGATATATATGACTATACATATTGGAAAGTAAGAAAATTTGTCTATATTTGCTGTTTTTATACATAGAATATTCCAGACAATCTAAGAACAACTATTAAAAACAAAACATTTAATGATGTAGCTGAATACAAAATATTAAAAAATCAATAATATTTTATAATCTAAAGATAAACAATTATGAAACTTAAGATTGAGTCACAAGGGCAATAAAATCTATAAGGTACTTATCAAATTAAACTAGCAGAAGATATAAAAGACTTTTATAAAAAATTTATAGCAAAACACAAATGAAAATCATGTTTATATCATATTTATAGATGAAACACTCATATCCTAAAGATGCATATTTTCTAAGTTATACATTCAAATTTCAAATAAAATCCCAGTTGAGAATTACACTGAGCTTGATAAGCTGATTCCAAAATTCATATAGTAGAATAATGAGTCAGAAATAGCCAAGATAATTTAGAAAAAGGGGACCAGCTTACCAGATATCAAGATATTTTGCAAGTTATAATTAATAAAGTATGTCAGTACAATAGTAGATAAATAATGCAGCAAAAGGTAAAGCCCAGAAGACCCACCCAAGTATGGGAACTTGATATATGAATGAGATGCATAATCAATGGAAAAGAGATTGACTATACAATAAATGAATTATTTACATGTACAAATAAAAGTCTAGTATATCAAATCATCATAAAATAAATTACACAAAGATTAAAATCTAATTGTGAAAATCATGGTCTTAAAACAGATAGAAAAAACAGAATTGCATTTTCTCCCTGGTAGGGAAATATTTACTGATTAAAAAACAAAAAGTAAGAATCACATGAAAAGGCTGATAAAACTGAAATGCTAAAATAAAAAAAACTTCTGTGATGAAAGACTATTGATGGAAAAACTGATATACAAGAAGTAAAGTGATTTATTCAAGATTATATGCTAATAAATGCTAGAGACACAACTCAAACCTATAGTTTTCTGATGCCAATATTCATCTATTTTGCAGTCTTTTAAATTTCTAATTACATAATTGCCACATTATATTCTTTCATAAAAATTTGAACAACACACAAAAAATAAGAATACCTTTGACCATTTTCCCCAATTCTGATCTTCAGTCTCCTCCCAGATTTGTTTATATTTTTTCAGGCTTTTTTTCCCTTAGGCATTTGAACATGTAAGTACAAATATAAAGGCAATGCTCAGTGGTTTTATATCTTACTGTTCTGCAACTTTCATTTTTTTTAAATGTGTCTTAAAGAGCTTTCCATATCAACACAACATTCCACAGTAAGAATATATCAACACTGATTTATTCAATATTCTATAAGAGTCACTTAGACTATTTTAACAGTTTGCTCCATTAGTTACATAAACAGTGTAGATATGGGAAATGAATTTTCCAGGTCATAATAAATACTAAAAATAAATATATGTTTTAAATGTTGATAATGCTTAATTGCTCATCCTGGTATATATACATATATTTAGATGCTATTTCCCAGTGCCTTTTCCATTATTTGATATTTTTAAATTAATATTTTCAGTGTTTAACATTTTGCCAGTCTGGTAAAGAACTGTATATTTTATTTCCCTAATTATTAGTGAGGCTGTTTGCTCCTCACTGCCAAATTCTTCTCTTTAGAAGTAAGAGGCAACCACATCAACTCTTAAAATCATATTTTTTGGTAGCCTTACTTTCATATGTCTAAATATGTTTATATTGCTATTTTCTGATTTAGTCATTAGATATTATATATTAATTTCTTACTACAACATGAGGATTTAGTACAAGTTCTTTATGTATTTTCAATGTTCATTATTTGTGACATCTAGGAAATATTACATCCCACTTTGTTGCCTACTTTTTATTATGATAGACTTGTAATAGCATATGCCCTAAAGTTTTCAGATTTTTGTCCAAGGGTGTCCCTACTCCACAGTGACTAATAACCCATATCCCACAAGCATCTTTGAATACTTTCTGAGTCACGATTTTAATGTTTACTAAACATTGGTTCTTTATGTATGTATGAGGCAGAGGTCTATTCTTTTCAAAATGAAGAACCAATTGCCCAACACCATTTATTCAATAGCTAATTATGTCCTCAAATATCTTCTCTAAAATATATAACATTTTTTCCCAAACACCTGAAACATTTAGGGATTATTTATTTAGGTATATTGGTCTTCTTGTACACCCCTGTACCAATATAACACTGCATTTCTTTTTCAAAAATGTCTTGGCTATTCATAAACATTTTCTTTTCTTAATAAATTTTAAAATCATCCTTTGAATTTTTAAAAAATAAACTCTGATGACACCTGATTGGAATTATATTGTATTTGTGGATCAATGTGAAGGAACCCAGTGTTATTCCATGGGTGAGTGGACTTACCTTTCGGGTTCAATTTTTGGTAGGCTTATTCAGTTTCTATCCTTTAAAAATAAACAAAGAACCAAACCTACATACTAAATAATTTATTAATCTTTTTTATAGTACTTAGCAAAAATTATATATTGAAGACACATTATTTATAATAATAGAGAAACTTTAGATATTTTCATGTTTTCAACTGTTTCCTCACCATCAAAGGCAAATTATGAAATAATCAAAGTGAATACGAATTATTTCTATAATCTGATAACATTTTACATATAAGTACATATTAATAAAATCAAGATTGGCTAATTTATGTTATTTAATATTGATCATTTATTACCAAACTGAGTAACAAAGGAAAATTATAATCACATTATTAAATTCAAGCATAGAGTATTTGAAAATTAAAGTTGTCCTACATGTTATCATCTTCAAAATGCCAATATTAAATACCAATTTTAGCTCTCAATAAAGCTAAAGACTTAATTTGGGACCATCAGTAGTGTGAATTATTCATTCAGTCATTCATTTACTCATTTGTTAATTCTACAAATTTTCATTTTAAATAATATAAAATGCTATCAACTGGGATAGATAATAGATATACAATAATAGTAAGGTATACCTTTTTTCAAGAATGAGGAAAATAATAATAATAATAATGATATCATAATACTCACTTTCCCTTCATCTCTTGGGCTATCACTTAAATGTACAACTGGGCCTGGATGAGTCTTGGTGGATCTGTTAAATAAATTCAAAACAGTATTAAAAACCAAACATTAAAATACTTTCCACTAGAGACTAAAACAAAGAAATTAAGATTACACTGGAATAAAATCCCAACATTCTAGAGTTAAGCTGAGATTCACTTAAGTTTTTGGTTTACTTTACTAACTGTATTTTTATTTACAAACTGCAAACTACTCATTTAAAAAAATTGGATTAAACACAAAGATCCACATAACAATGTGGTTCTTTATTGTCTGAAATGTTTGTGGTTCTTTATTATCTGAAATAAGTATCCCTGAATTTTTTTTAACAGTCACAAAGGTAATGCTGTAAACCTGTCTCAATTAAATTGTGAAGTACACATCTGATTTAAGACTTTCTTTCACATGAAATCTCCTCTGATTATTTTCCCCTAAAGAAAAGTACAGTGGCACCTTTGATTTAAAAATAACTCTAGTGATAACCTTCTTACAGAAAACCAACAAATTAGACAAACCTAGTTCAATGGTTTTACCACATTTATCAGATTATTTAGTATAATCAATAAGATAATTATGAGTTTAACAGCATATTGCTAAAAGACCTGGTTTCTATCAATCTGACTTTAAATTTATTCTACTCTGATACCTGGCATGTTTCTTTTTATAATTCCTAGTTTAACTTAAATCACTTTGAAAATGATTATGTCATGATCAAATATGACATGACCTGGTATGACAAAGGTTTTATTATTGCTCCACTTTCTGCAGCTTTTCTCCATGACCTAACAGTGCCAAATTAATCTTACTATGATTATATTAACATAGTTTCAGTTTCTTTCTTAAAGACACATAAAAATTATCAAAGATTCTATACAAAACAATGAAGAAGATTTAAATCTTAGAAACTTTTCAGAATCAAAGTGACAAATTAATTCCAGGATCTTCTGACACTGACTCCTCAGACTGACCAAGAGGAATAAACACAGATTGATTGAATATTGATGAATTTTGTTGGTGGATTCATCCTATTTTCATCTAAAAATGGAAATATTAGCACTGACCCTACTGAATAATTGTGTGGATTAAAAGATACATACACCATCTAATACTATAGCAGAACATAGTATGCATTCAATAAATCGTATGATTGATGTGATAATAGGAAAATCGGAGTTACTATTTGCATTCTAGAATACATACAGGAAGACACAAGCATTCCTATACACCAATAACAGACAAACAGAGAGCCAAATCATAAGTGAACTCCCACTGCTGATTGCTACAAAGAGAATAAAATATCTAGGAATATAACTAACAAGGGATCTGAAGGACTTCTTCAAGGAGAAATAGTTAACAGGCAATGTACAGAATGGGAGAAAATTTTTGCAATCTACCCATCTGACAAAGGACTACTATCCAGAATCTACAAAAACTTAAACAGATTTATAGGGAAACAAAAACCAACCCTATCAAAAAGTGGGCAAAGGATATGAACAGACACTTCTCAAAGGGAGAGATATTTATGCAGCCAACAAACATGAAAAAAAGCTCATCATCACTGCTCATTAGATAAATGCAAATCAAAACCACAATGAGAGACCATCTCATGCCAGTTGGAATGGTGATCATTAAAAAGTCAGGAGACAACAGATGCTGTCAGGAGAGGATGTGGAGAAACAGAAATGCTTTTACACTGTTGGTAGGAGTGTAAATTAGTTCAACCATTGTGGAAGACAGTGGCAATTCTTCAAGGATCTAGAACTAGAAATACCATTTGACTCAGCAATCCCATTAGTGGGTATGTACTCAAAAAATTATAAATCATGCTATTATAAAATACATACCCATGTATGTTTATTGCAGCACTGTTCACAATAGCAAAGACATGGAACCAACCCAAATGCCCATCAATGATAGACTAAATAAAGAAAATGTGGCACATATACAGCATGGAATACTATGCAGTCATAAAAAGGATGAATTCCTTTGCAGGGACATGGATGAAGCTGGAAACCAGCATTCTCAGCAAACTAACACAAGAACAGAAAAACAAACACTGCATGTTCTCACTCATAAGTGACAACTGAATAATGAGAACACATGAACACAAGGAGGGGAATATCACACACTGGGGCCTGTTGGGGAGTGGGGGCTAGGGCAGAGATAGCATTAGGAGAAATACTTAATGTAGCCGGGGTGATGGATGCAGCAAACCACCATGGAACATGTATAACTATGTAACAAACCTGCATGTTCTGAACATGCATCCCAGAACTTCAAGTATAATACATATGTGTGTGTGTGTGTATAGTATAAATATAAAGTATATATATATATATATATATATATATATATATATATATATAGTATAAAATATATATATGGAGAAAAAAGCAAACACGGTTTCATAAAGAGTTTACATAGCTTTAATTCTTTCCACATTTATAGGTAACATATCATTCATACATAAATGCTGTGTTCTGTAAAGGTATAAAATGCCTCTGATAAGGGTTAATGTCTTTAAATTATCTACTCAGAATTCATAAAAGCCAACAAACCATAACCTCTCTGTCTCTTGGTTTGATTGAAGTAACACTTACCAAAATGGTAAGTTAGTATTTTAAAAGTTTGGGAAACCCTGAATTAAACAAAGTTAAATATTTTTTCCCCTACAGAATTTCTTAGAGCCAAATGAGCATTGTAAATCTTCAGTTCTTTACAAAATTATTAGTCCATTAAATCCTTTTTCATTGATCATATTAATGAAATCACAGAAATTGTTTTGAGAAACACTACTTGGATCACATACAAGACTCTTTTGTTTAGATTCTTAAACTATAAAATATTCTAGTTCTGAAAGTAATCCAGCATTAAACTTCTGTTATTTGTAGTTACTTTTTCAGACTCCAGAAGAAACATTATTTATTGTCTTAAACAAATATAGAACACATCAAAAGTGAAGAGGAAAAAGCATTCACATTATTTCACTGTATAGAGATAATGCCTATTAACATTTTGGGGTATTTCTTCTGGCTTGTTCCCTAACATTAAACTTCCACAACCCACAAAGTACTCCTGGCAAAACTTATGGTCATAAGAAATTGAACTAAAGCATCTGTGGACGCTGGATTCTGAAAATTATAAAAAAATTACTTTAGATATAATTATCAATGAACTATTTTCATGTACTAGCTACCTAAAAAAATGTGCAGTAATTCTTCTAGGTATCATTATTTAGTTCTTTTTCTCCCATTCACTAAAGTAGCCTTTTTGATATTAGTTTCCATTATGGACATTTCATTGTATTCCCTTATCTTAAATGTTGATACTCCATGGTATCCTGTCCTAGACTGCTATATATATGGTCACAAAGCCTAGGAACTAGGCAGATATTGCAAGTGAGTTAAATAGGCTGAATAAGAACTGTACCAACCTGGATCGCATATTGCTTACCTACATAAAGAAGTTATTACTCAGTTGCAGTTGATTATTGCCCTATAGGAATGCTAGACTAGGACTGTTTGATCAAAAAGTCCAATTTTTTAATCTTTGCTTTACCAATGTTTAAATATTAGAAAATAATAATTCAGAGCATATTTAAATAATCTGATGGCCAAACAAATCATATCTATCAGTCATAATTAGTTCAATGGCTGTTAGTTTGCTACATTTTCTCTACATATTCTTCATGCACAATTTCATCTGTTCTCATGGTTTTAACAATCCTGTAAATTCTGATCTCTCTCATCACCTTCAGATCCATATATCCTGCCTCCTACCATTCTTCTATACCAACTCCACTTGAAAGTCTTATTAACACATTACAATTCAATGGATCTAAAATTCAGCTTATTATTTTACTCCATCTCTTGCACATTCACTAAATTATATACTCTTACACACGGTTGTACACCATTATACAACTGTTTATACAAGGGCACCATTATACACCATTGCTCAAGCCAAACACTGGGAAGTTATCCTTAATTTTTCCCTATTATTCTTCCCTCTTTTAAATATTTCTTTAATATGTTGGTTTATCTCAACTCCTACAACTATCAACATAATTTTTACCAAGAACACAGTTTTTCTTTATCTCTAATCATTTCTCCATATCTGCATTCAGCATAGCATTTTTAAAATATAGATTTGATTGAGACAAATTTTTGCTTACGACTCTCAAAATCTAGCTCCCTATTAGTCTTAAAGTCCAAACTTCTTAAATTGGCTAACAACGCCTTTCATGTTATAAAACCTGATTGCCTTCCAGCTTTATCTCTTACTATCCTATCTCCAAGGCATTGCAACAAACTAAAAACTATAGTACTTAAAATTTCTGGGCTTAGAACAGAAAATTATCTTACATTCCATCCTTTAAATATTCTGTTCCCTTTGCCCCTTGTCCTTGGTATTTTATTCATCTAACTGAAACTCATCCTTTGGATCTCAGCATAGATGTAACATCCTTCACAGATACCACTTTGAGATCCCCTGTCTGTATAATAGATGTCCTTCTCATGAAATTGTCATATTATATTACCAATATATTGTAATTGCCTTTTTATTTAGCTTTGTCTTCATTAAACTGAAAGTCCCAGGAGTACAGAAATTATGTTTTCTCTGTTCATGGTTGTTTCTAGTATCTATCAAATAACAGAACTCAATAAACATGTTTGAATGATGTTAAACATGAGTCTTACACTTTTATGATTTGTTTATAAATTTCATGCTCCAATTTTAATCACATGTAGAAAAAAAGTTTCCTTTTTTTAAATGTTAGGGCTGCCCTACAGAATATCTGCTTTTTTGTGCTAGAATCTGGAATATAAATTCCCATATAAATAGTTTTAATGATAGTTTAGTTCTATACTGTTATTTTATAAGATATTCTGCAAATATCACTGTTTATAAGAAGAATGTGTGCCAGATTCCAAATAACCAATATATACATTTTGGAAATACAACTATTCATGCTCTTGGGAATTGCCTCTAATTATAATTAGAATAATTCACTAAAAATAGAAACAAGCTGAAAAATAAACATTAAATGAAAAGTTTTTCAATAAGGACTTAAAATAGGAACAATTTCATATTTTTAAAGATAATTCTTGCATTTGTCCTACTTACAAAATATATTGTTAAAATTCATTAATTAAAATTATATTTATTAAATGAGTCTTAATTATATGCATATTTTATTACTGTCTCATACACTTGACATATATTAACAGGAAGTTACATACATTTTCTAATTTATCTCAACAGGTAGACAGCAATAAAAAGACAATTCTGGCAGATTGAAAATTGGTATTTAAAATGTTATTTATCACAGTGGAATTAGAATTCTATGAAACATACTTTTTGAAATCTGGTTTAAATAAATCAAGAGACATTCAGGAAGTGATGACATATGATTTATTAATAATTTCTCTGAGATATTTCAAGAACATTTGCAGAGGCATGTATAACTCTATAAAACACAGTTTTATATATAAAATAGAGCTATTCTAATGTTGAATCATATGTATATTATGAAAATAAAAATGCCTTATTTTGTCTCTATAATTTCTCCTGATCTTAGCCTCTCTTATAAGACACATTTTTAAAAACTCTTCACTAGTCTTGAAGTTGTAGAGACTATATAAATACATAAATATAAAGTATAAGTCATTAGTTCAGGTGGAAATCTGAACCATTAAAGGATTTGTTACGTAAATGAATATAGGAACAACATTGCAAGAGTGGTGAAATGTTTGATTTGCTTAACATAATAAACTTTTCTCAATTACTTTAGTAGCATTCAACCTGAACACAAATGATGGATCTGTGTATGTTTCACTAACATTGAATTTGTTTAAAAGTTTTATAACTGAATCTTCTCTTGTCTATCTAAGCTTGTGTTTTAATAATATCCTGAAACAATATTATATAAAAAGTATTAAATTCAGCCCTCTTTATTGCTTTTATAGGACTAGGATTACAGGGGGGAAAAGACCCTCCCAAATACCTAATAAAGTAACTTTTGGGAGAAACATAATTGTTTATGGATATATGTTTTTAGAAACATTCACACAGAACAATGAAACAAGAGAAAAATAGCTCAAACCAATTATCTTGAAAACACAAATAAAAGCTGTAAGTCAAGAGTAGTATGTATTTAACAAGTATTCATATTAATGCTTCGATAATGTCATTAATCATTTAGTATCGACTTTGGAAAGCACAGAAATAAGCTAAATATGAAGAACAAGAAAAGAACAATAAACAAAAATTCTGCTCTGGAGCAGTTCCTAATCTAATGAGGGAGCATTAATGAAAGACCCATTCAGACATAATACAAAAGGACTATCATGACAAGAGTATAACTAGTAACAACCTTCCTTATCAAGCAACATACATGCATACTGAAACATTAAGATTAGGTAAAAGATTTATTTCCAGAGTCAAACTTCACAAAAGCAGGGTGTTTTAACCAGAATTTTGCAGAATAATTTTGTAACTTAGACTAAATATGATGCAGAAAATGAGCCCACTTCAAGTCAAACATCTTATCAAGGACCTAATATGTACAGAGCATAAATGTGTTAAATAAAAGTTGTTTTTCTGATTAATAATTTTACTAGAAGAATTGCTTATGTATATACTACAAATAGATGGTGATATAGTTTAGATATTCGTTCCTACCCAAATCTCATGTTGAATTACAATCTCTAATGCTGAAGGTAGGACCTAGTGGGAGGTATTTGGATCATGGGAGGTGTATTTCTCTTGAATGGTTTAGCACCATACCCTTAGGGGTCTTCTTGTGATAGTGAGTTCTTGCCACAGTAAATGAGTTCTTGCAATAGTGAGTACATTATTGTTCAATCTGGTTGTTTAAAAGCGTGTGGTACCTCCCCACAATTTCTCCTTTTGTTCCTGCTTTCACCATATGATATGCCTGCTCCCCTTTCACCTGCCACCATCACTGTAAGCTTCCTGAGGCCTCCCTGAAAGCTGAGAAGATGCCAGCATTATGCTTCCACAGAACCATAAGCCAATTAAACCTCTTTTCTATATAAATTATTCTGTCTCAGGGATTCCTTTATAGATATGCAAAACAGCCTAATACAGATGGCTTGAAATTCCACAAAGTATGATATTTGGAGAATTTCACATTTTACATGCACAGAAATTTAAATATCAGTGCCAAAGCCAAGTGGTAATCACTATCAATCACATACCCAAAAAAACATATATATCATAACATAAAAAATATTTGAGCCCAGAATAGTATTTTAATGAGGCAAGAAAAGAAAAAGCTAAAAGCATTAAAATCATATGCAGCAGTCATGTTTATTTTTACATAACACAATTCATTCTCACTGAAAGTGGCTATACCAAGCTTGATTATAACAAAGTGAGATTTCCATGAGTAACTTGTAGAATAAGGCTTACTATATTGTCATCAAATTTTTAGATATAAACTTTAATTATTTATGGTATTTGGAAAGCCTAAAATATTGGAATTTGCATTTTAAAAAGCCTTTATGGCTTTAAGTTATTTTACTAAACTTTTCACTCAAATTCATTATAAGTTAGTAATAGACGTATCAAATAACTGTAATTTGACCTATATGTTACAAAACTATATAAAGTATTTAAGCCAATAAAGTGATATCCAAGTTCAAACTTACAATTCAATTGCCTTGTTCCACATGATAACATATCCAGAAAGAATGAAAGATTCAATATTTACAATATGTGTATTTCCTCTTTCTGTTCCAACATAAAGCCATTTACTCTGGAAAGGTAGATGACAGTAAGTAATTCTGAAAGAAAGAAAATTATAATTAAAATATCTAAATTTTATATTTGGTCAGCATTATATTTTCCTTACATGTATTATGTAGTGATAGCTATATAAACAATAAAATTTACTATACACTCAAGTATACACTCAAGTATAGCATGTAGTTATTTATTTAAAGTATGGGATAAAGAATACTATAGCATTAAAAACAATAATGATAATAAGCACTATTAATAAGTGCCAATATGGGCATTTACATTATTTCTAATTCTGAAAATGACAAGACAGATATATATTTCTGTTTCACAAAAATGAAACTGCGGCTGAATTTTTTTGTTTACTTGCCTAAGATTTACAGCTAATAAGCGGCAAAAATAGGATTCAAATCCTTTCCTGTTAGGTTACAAAATTAACATCTTTCCACTAAGCTACATTTTTTTCTATCTTTAAGATATTTCATTTAAATACATAAATTTCATATTATGATATTTCGCAAATTTCATATTTGCTTCAAACACATAAATGTCGGAGTTCACAGAGAAGTCATAAATGAGATGATAAATTATTTAGTTTGTATTCAGATGTTTGGCATCTAAACAGTAAAAAGAAAACTTATAAAGTCAGAGATCCACTGTACTCTTCCCTTAATTCTATTGTTCTGTTTTCATCTTCATGATGAGCTTTCTGACTAGCTCTAGGACCTGTTCCATAGCCAATGCAACTATGACTTCTATATATGAAATATGGTAATTTAATTTACCAGAGTCTTCTATTCACAACCTTATCACTCCTTCTAGCTTGGCCTAATCATGCTCTTTAGTCACTCTTCAAAAGAGAAGGAGGAGAAGTTTACAGTTATCTCTCGTAAGACAGACAAATAATTTTTTTAAAGTGAATGACATATTTCTAATATGATATTGTGTTGTACTTCTTTATATAAGAATTAAAAAGTGAACATCCAGTGTGTCCAATTTATATTCTGTCTCGTTCATTGAAGTTTTGAACAGCCTGTTTCTTTGAACAAAACTTCATCTATTACCCAAAGCACACTACACACTACATCCAAAAATTTAAAAGCCCTGCTATTACATAGCGATTACAAAGTTAATTGACAATGTAATTAATGTGTAACCTGTATGATCAGAAAAATTTAATTAAAACCTAAAATCTACAATTGCTGTTGCCAAGGGATATTTAATAATGTTGCACAGGAAATAACTTGATGGTCATGTTTCAAGGCAATGAAGAATCAATTTTCAATTCAATCTTAGGTAGAAAGAGGAAACTCACTTTAAAGAGGATTAAGATAATCCTTTCTGAATTACAGGGACAGTGGAGAAAACACTAATCCCATTAAAGAAGACACAAATATAGGGGTTCAAGTAGAAAAAAAGTAAACCTAAATATTACATAGTCACTTTGATGGTTAAGAAGAAAAGTGTAAGAACTGCCAGGTTTCAGTAATGAGACAGAACTAGAACTATTCCTTGTAACTACTTTTTTCCCTGGTTTTTATTAAATATAAACTAGAGCCTTTATATCAAACAGGTTTCACCTTATAGTCAATGTCTAACTGATGGGTAGTGGTTACAACAACTACATAAAGAGTCTCAGATTTTAACTGAATCCCCCAAAAAAGAGTAATAGGATTTCTTAGAATAGTTGTCATAGGTAAAGAAAAAGATATAATAACACTTGTGCTGTGTATTTGCTAACTCTAATAAATGATTAGTCAATAGCTTTGTACAACTTGATTTATATTTAATAATTACACTTTCTTTTGTAACTTATTTCTACCACCACTATCTGAGATATGAAGGATTTTTTTCTATAACATGTGAGCCTTAGAAAAATAATCTTATTCCTATATCCATATTAACTATTATTAAATAATCTAAGATATTCTTAGCCTTCCATCTGTTCATCCATTTATTCAATCTTCACTAAATAACTCTTTATTTAAAAAGTATTGTTGTGGAGAGGGACCAAGATGACTGACTGGAAATAGCTACAGCCGGAGGCTCCCACTGAGAAGAATAAAAACGACAAGAGAAGAAAAAAAATGCAAGTGAGTCCTACACCAGCAACTGAAGTATCCAAGTTCTCTCATTGGGACTGAATAGGCAGTTGACACAACCCACGGAGAGCAAGGAAAAGCAGAGTGCAGTAACGACCCACATGGGAGCTGAAAGAAACAAGGGGAGCTCCCACCTCCAGCCAAGCAAGGTGGCGAGTGATTGTGTTACTCCACCCAGAAAACCATTCGTTTTTCAAGGATCTGAGCAACCTGCAAATCAGGAGAGCCCCTTTTTGAGCCCAGGAGACAAGGGCCTTGAGTCCTGAGCACAGAGCTGTACAGATTCTCAGCAGCCACTCGGCTGCAGACTGTTTAAGTTTACCAAGTTCCTGAGGGGAGGGGCAGCTGCCTGCTGACTAACATGACTGAATCCTGTGGGGATGAGTGGCAGCCATAATTGCAGCTCCAGTCTGCCACTTTTTCCCTGCTGGTGCCAGGAAGACTGGGCGGTTTGGACCCAGGAGAAATACCCCACAGGGCAGTGCAGTGGCTGTGGCAGATCATGGCCAGACTGCCTCTTTAGGCTGGACCCTGATCCATCCCTCCTCACTGGGTGGGGCCTCCCTGCAGGAATTTCAGAAACTCCAGCTAGGAGTTTACAGACAGAACTCTGATCTTCCTGGGACCAAGCCCCTTGAGGAAGGGGCAGCCATGGTCTCCATGGATCAGTGGAATTAATCTTCCCCCTGATGGCTCTGAGAAACCTGGGAAGTGCAAATGAGTCGGATTCCCCACCACAGTGCACCCCTTCAGCCAGAGTGCTTTGTTAAGTGGATTCCTGACCCCATGCCTCCTGATTGAGTAAAAGCCCCAAAAAAGGGTGGCCAGACACCTTAATTAGGACTATTCCTGCTGGTATAAGTTTGGTACGCCTCTGGGATGGAGTTTCCACAGGAAGGAGCAGGCAGCCATCTTTGCTGTTCTGCAGCCTCCACTGGTGACACCTCCAGGTGTGGGAGGGGCCCAGGCAAATAGGGTCTGGAGTGGACCCCTAACAAACCAGAAGAGGTACCTGACTGTTAAAAATAACAAATAGAAAGCAGTAACACATTTACAAAAACGTCCCCACAAAAACTCCATCCAAACGTCAGCATCCCTCAAAGATCAAAGCTAGATAAACTCAAGAAGAGAAGATGAGAAAGAATCATTTTAAAAAACCCTGAAAACTCAAAAAGCCAGAGTGCTTCTTCTCCTCCAAATTATTGCAACACCTCTCTGGCAAAGGCACAGAACTTGGGCAGAGGCTGAGATGAAAAAATTGATAGAAGTAGGCTTCAGAAAATGGATGAACTTCACTGAGCTAAAGGAGCATGTTCTAACCCGATGCAAAGAAGCTAAGAACCATGATAAAACATTGCAGGAGCTATTAACTAGAATAACCAGTTTAGAGAGAAACATAAATGACTTGATGGAGCTGAAAAACACATGACAACTTCACAGTGCACCCACAATTATCAACAGCCAAATAGACCAAATGGAGGAAAGGATTTCAGAGCTTGAAGACTATCTTGCTGAAACAAGACAGGCAGAAAAGATTAGAGGGGGGAAAAAAAGGAAATTCAATGAAAGAAACCTCCAGGACCTATAGGGTTATGCAAAAAGACCAAACCTGTGACTGACTGAAGTACCTGAAAGAGACAGGGAGAACAGAGCCAAGTTGGAAAACATACTTCAAGATATCATCGAAGAGAACATCCCCAACCTAGCAAGATAGGCCACCATTCAAATTCAGGAAATACAGAGAACTCCAGGAAGATATTCCATAAGAAGATCAACCCCAAGGCACAAAATATCAGATTCTGTAAGGTTGAAATGAAAGAAAAAATGTTGGTCGAAATGAAAGAAAAAACATTAAAGGCAGCCAGAGAGAAAGGCCAGATAACCTATGAAGAAAAGCCTATCAGACTAACATCAGACCTCTCAGCAGTAACCCTACAAGCCAGAAGAGATTGTGGGCAAATATTTAACATTATTAAAGAAAAGACTCTCCAACCTAGAAGTTCATATATGGCCAAACAATGCTTCATAAGTGAAAGAGAAATAAAATTCTTTTCAGACAAGCAAATGCTGAGGGAATTTGTCACCACCAGGCCCACCTTGCAAGAGTTCCTTAAGGAAGCACTAAATATGAAAAGGAAAAAAATTAAAAAGTTATCAGCCACTACAAAATCACCTTGAAGTACAAAGACCAGTAACACTATAAAGCAACTACATCAACAAGTCTGCAAAATAACTAGTTAGCATCATGATGACAGAATCAAATTCATACATAACAATATTAACCTTAAATGTAAATGAGCTAAATGCCCCAATTAAAAGGCACAGAATGGCAAGGTGGGTAGAGTCAAGACCTATTGGTGTGCTGTATTCAAGAGACCCATCTCATGTGCATAAACACACATAGGCTAAAAATAAAAGGATGAGGGGAAAATCTACCAAACAAATAAAAAGCAGAAAAAAGCAGGGGCTGAAATCCTAGTTTCTGACAAAACAGACTTTAAACCAACAAAGATCAAAAAAGACAAAGAAGGACAAAGGTTCAAGTCAACAAGATGAGCTAAGTATCCTAAAAATCTATGCCCCAATATAAGAACAACAAAATTCATAAATAAGTCACTAGAAATCTACAAAAAGATTTAGACTCCCATACAATAATAAAGGAGACTTTAATACCACACTGTCAATATCACATCACTAAGACAGAAAGTTGACAAGGATTTTCAGGACTTGAACTCAGCTCTGGTTTAAATGAACTGGATATCTACAGAACTCTCCATCCCTAAACAAGAGAATATACATTATTCTCAGCACCTCATGGGACTTACTCTAAAATTGATCATATAATTTGAAGTAAAACACTCCTCAGCAAACACACACAAAAAAAGGAGTAAAATCATAACAGTCTCTCAGACCACAGAGCAATCAAATTAAAACTCAAGGTT